AAAATTTAATTTAAAAAAAATTTAATTAAAAAAAATTACAAGTTTAATTTACTTATATATACCTATTTATTTGGCAAATAGAGTTAATTGGAAATAAGTTGATTTATTGGAAACAATAAATCTCATTAAAATATGCGCAACCACTTTTATAAGTTGGATTGTATCGCGAGTTATACATCGCAGTGTGCAACAGGAAATAGTTTTGCAGTTCCCATGTCTACTCTAGATGTAAATGGAATAACAATGAGGTTTTCGTATCGATTTCACAAACGCAGTGAGTAGAAAGGAGAAGAAAGAGGGCTAGCTTGCGGTGCAATCGGTGATGGCGGACCAATCACGATTCAATAATTGCCGAGAAAGAATTCGCCGTTCTTATGATAAAACAAAAACTACATCAGCAAAGGAACGAGGTGGAGTCGATCTCCATTTTAAAATGCGCCATCAATCACCGTGCAGTTGCTGTATTGACAGTTTAACAATGTTAATTGCTCGAATTAAGTTGAATCACGCGGTCCTTTGGGGGTCCTTTCTTTACCGGCTTAATTAACATATTCGAATTACCGTAAATCTGTCTGACGTGCGGTCGCGCACGTTGATACTAATAACATTGATTATGGTCGAACTACCGTAGAAAGTTGGCGTTTAAATTCACATACTTATCGCCACTATTAAGTAAACGGTAGTATTAGCAGGCGCTTTAAAAATCCCATGGGTACTGAATCATGATCATGGATTGTGGAAAGTTGAACTAAAAAGGACTTGTATTTATCTAGATATTATTAAGAAAGATAGTAAATGTAGACGCGACCTAATGAAATCATTGATTAATTGTTCTTGTATACTAAAGCGTCACTAAAACCATAACTTTTTTTTCTTTAGAGCTAATTAATATTTTAAGATATTTATCGTACTTTCATATTTACCGATTTATCCTTTATATAAATAGTTATTATATCAATCTATAAATTAATAGAGAATAAGACATAAGTTTTCACTTATTAAATAATTCAGTAATATAAATGATTCGTTAAATAAGGCATCATAAAAATTTGATATTTAACAAGCGTGAAAAATACAAAAACATTTATTTTTATTCACACTTATGCATACAAAGCGTTTGATTATTTAAATTATTATACTTATTGTTAGAAATATACAGCAGTTAATTTATATTTTAAAAAGTTTGGCAATTTTATTTTGCTAATCGTGTATGATCTCGCGGCAATTCCTCTAACTGCAATACTAGGACAAAGTCATGCTGCATCCGGGGAATGGAAGGTCAGTTTACTAAGGCCAGTTTACGCACTTTTATCGTATACGCACGTTTCTCTAATCATTTCTTGCGTAAATTATTTTTGCGGCGCAGCACGTGTTATGATTTATGTAGGTGCATTTCAACTGTGCTCTCGATGAATAATGACGCATCAATTACTTTTGTACGCAGTAAAACCGTGGGACTTTAATGCGTAACTAATCCGCGGTTTTGCTGATAGCTTACCCGGTGCTTTCAACCAGCAATACAACAAAAGCGAAAGAACAACGTTAATAAAAATTATAATTTCTTGAACGTGCCCACGCCGCAATACTTCATTTCTTTGTATTTTCCGAATGGAGAAAGTGCTTGTATCAAACGATTGTATCGGCGGAAGTTGCAGTCGACGAAAAATTTAAGCGATACGATATCGCAGACTATATGAATATTATATCGAGATTAGTCATGCGCTAGTTAATTCACCCTGGGCACCTTATATGTAGGATATTATAAATTTAACTCTCGGCTCTCCTTACACCAGCGCGCTAGATACGAGAAAGCGAATCAGTGTCAATGACAGACGTGTCGCCGTTCCATTTTTTGCCGCGAGAATGTCATTATTCGATACGCTGCAATCTCACCTGAATTTCTCACACTTTCTCCGTCTCCACTAGTAGTTTGCAAGTTCAACGACGTGCTGTATCTACTTGTTTTACAACTAGTTAGTTGCTTGTTCAAGGTTAATTTAAAACATGCAGTGTCAATGTCAAAGTGTTGGTAGAATCTTATTCTTCCCAGAAGAGAATTACTTTATTCGCATCTTTTTCTGTCATAATAAATATATTGTCTTCTTCTTTTCAGAAGATAATTATTTTTAATTCGCATCTTTTTCCATTATATTGAATATATACCTGATCAAAGAGATAAGAGTGAAAGATTCAGAATATTTTTTAGACTTTTAATTAGAATTAAAAGTGAAACTTCATCATGCAATTCTTTTTGAAAATAAATTGAACATATAGTTGCGAGCGATCTATAAATTATTATCTTCACAAACATCATCTTTGTGGCACGAGGGATGATATCGCGGAATTCGAGGAATTTCTGAGGAATCGAAATCTTCGCGTTGGCGAACGGGTTTTATCGCGACCTTGCCGGTGGACCGGCGCCGCGGTGAACAGACGGAGCTGACCGAGAAGACGTCGCACGGTCGTTAATTGACAGAATGTGGACGGTCGCGTGATTCGAGGCGAGCGGCTAACGCATGCACGTGACTCGATCGGACTTTTCCCTCGATGGCATTAATCCGTACGGAGGAAAGGCGTATGAGCGCAGTTCTCTTTCTCCATCTTTCTTGTGCTCGCGCCGATCGGCAATAACCAGCACGTGCAAAAGCACGTGTTATCACGTGCGGCACGTGATATTCGCTCTCGTGCGCGAGTACAGGAATTGTTATTATCGTCCATGCCCTAGTGTCTACGCAACGGCATTGATTTTACGGCACGCGTGTAGGTGTGAGCGCTACAATTATTAGACGGTTGCGAGATCGCATTTGCGACACAACTACGCTATGAAGGATTGATCTTACTATAGAATCAATTTGCAAAAATGTATGCATAGACTCTTTCATATATTCTATAGATACATTCTTTAATTTTTTCAAAGATCCGATCTTTATTTAATCTTAAAATAGATTTTTCTTCTTACAAGAATACCAGCTAAGTTCCAATTGCTTTCAAGTATGAATCTAACATATTGGAAAAATTTTATAAATTAAAGCTCTCAAAAATAATTAACAAAATGTTGCTTGTAACTTAGATTTCATGTAAACTATGTTTATGAAATTTTAAATTAGAAATTAAATAAAATGATTAAATTAAACATTATAAAGTTGTAAAAAATCGACATTATATTTATGAAAAAATCTATGAACAAAATGAAGTATGTGGAATTAGAAACAATTTGCATAGAGAATGAATTTTAAATATCAAAGTCACAACGTAATCGATTTCATAAATGAATATTATTGAGCTTATTAAATTTAACATTCTTTTGTCATACGTCTTAATATTCAATATAAATGCAGCACGTATTTAAATTTTAAACCTTCAAATTATTGTCATTTGAGAAATTAATACCTCTTCAATACATAGTTATTTATTAATTTAATAATCACTAAATTTGTTACAAAAAGTTGAGAAATTTATTTTTTGTTTAAATTTTTTCTTCAAAAAAAAAATGTTTTGATTATAAAACGGTACTTTCTGATTGCAATATACAAATCCCGCTACGTCTGGCGACCCTGCTTCTACGTCAGTGTTTCTAACAAAAATGCAGCAAAGTTGCAGTCCTTGTAGGCAGTGGTATTCACGTACAGCGACGGCTGTATGTACGCGTAGGCGGTGAATCTCGTGAACGTAGTTCGCGACGAGTCGGGACTCACGTGCTTATGCAGACAGCCGTTTTGCAGGCCTTTTCGCGGTTTCCCATACATTTGAACGATACGTGTTGTAATACCTATTTTACCGATGTTTATTCGACAAATGTCAGAGTCCTGGATACGAAGCAAAAAGAGAATGATGTTTTGAAAAGATCGCTCGTGGGATATAGTGGCAGAAGCGAGAAATCTGCATTGCAGCAGTTTTGAGCGCTGTCACGTCTCAGAGAGACGGCATACTCTCCGAGGTTATCAGGATTAGCATCTGTAGAAGGAAGTGTTCCACTTTCGTGAATGAAGGCTGGAGGAAGGTGGAGACATAATTATGCGGGATAAAGCCAGACGTAATAACTATAATAGAACAAAATGCAAAGAAAGATAGCGCAGTAGCGGGAGCAACTCAGATTACCATTCTCGAAGAATTATGATGAAATTGCAAAATGTTCTCATCTTCAGCATAATAGCATAAGTCGTATGAAAGAAAATATTCCGTAATTATCACAGAGTGTCAGCACATTAGTCTGTACTTCATGTTTTCTTAAATTACGTGACAGTTTATGTAAAGAAATTACAGCTATTATTTCTCCTTTTAAATTAATTTTAAAGATTTATTTCGAATAATACTTTAGTTAATTAATTTTTTTGCCTATGAAAAATAATTTAAAAAGTTTTTTAAATATATGTGTTATTTTTATTGATAATTAAACTTTACATTAGAATAAAACCGTCACACTTATATTGAATTGAAATAAAATGAAAATTAATAATATAAATAGGTAAATTATTCTCTATTGTTAAGAATGATTGAATGTAGATTCAGCTACGTAATGGTGAGAAAAAATAACGAAATGTCTTCGAACACGCCTTATTACGAGTTGTGTAAAGTTCAGCCATGAACTTTAAATTATCTCTAGCTTTGCCGTTTAGTCGTTACTAATGTGACTGACGAGATAGAGGCGCGATTTTTTTTCTTAACTTGTATTTTTGTTATTCACACGAATATACACTAATAAATTATGTGTTAACAACTGGTATTAATTGACAACAAATTAATGCTGGGAATGTTTATTAAATTAATTTTTCACAAAAGACATATGAGAAATTCTTGTATTTTCGTATGGATACTCATACAGGATATTCGAATTACATCATGAATTCTTATACAATTATTCAAATTTTGTTGATGGTACATAGAAGAATAATGTCCTACTTGGAATAATTAAAGAAAAATAATTAGGAATGAAGCGAAGCCTATTTAAAACGATAGAAAATGAAAAATCATGTAAACATGCAATAATATTAGAAACGTACCTGGCATTAATCTTTCCTGTGGGGGATGTCCTAAAATTTCGGTACCAGCGAATAACAGAATAGTCAAGATTCCAACAAGATGCATCCTCATGATCACTCCCGATCTAAGCTATCCTGATCACAATCAACAGGAAATTCGCGAACACGTGAACGGCGAACTTAAGCACGACGCGGTCAATTTTCAAAATTATTTTGTTTCAACATGCGAATTTACGCGAGAAATTCTCAGGTGTTAAATCTAAGTCCGCCGTACTGTTTGTCGGCAGAGCTCCTATCGCTGTCGGACGGTGCGGTAGTCTGGAGGGCCGCCTGGCGCTTTCACTGGCTTTATACGTGCGCACGAAAGCACCTCTTCTGAAAGAGGGGATTCTATACTGCTCTCATGCACGTCGCTGGACGTATCACGAGTCATCGTGGAGAATCATGAAATTTCGTGGCACTTACATTTACAGTATATTACATTACAGTATAGTACATTTATATATGTATTTTTAACTTGAGAATTGGAATAAAATAAAGAACATTATTTTTCTAATTGCTCCAAAAGTAAAAAATTAATATATGCAAGCAAATGATACTAGATTTTAAATGCTATATTAGAATTATTAACAAATTTTTGTCATTCTTTGTAATTAAAGTTTTAGTTTTATTTGACAGTAAAAAAATTATTGTATTATTGGAATGATTACAGTGAATTTTTGTTCTAATTGCTAACATTGAACAGTGAAAAAAATGCGATAAAACATGTCATATTCTGATATCTGAAATATTATGATAAAATAATGGAAATTTGTTTTAAACACAGAAAAATATGCGGATACATAGTTAGACAATTTGATAATGACTCATTTAAGCGTTTTAATTTGTGTTTGAGCACTGTCAATTTAACAATTAATCTTCCGCTGCATGTTATTGCGATTGCTTTTCTTTCTAATAGGCGTAGTAAACTCGATTTACTGCAAATTACTCAATAACTTATTTAGGGCCGAGTTTGATGTCGTATAATCAACGATATAAATTGAAGGAGAAGTTTATTGCGTCGTTTTATAGTTAACAAACGATCTTCAACTTCATTATTTTTTTAAATATCTGGATATAAATAGGCGTTTTACACTACTTATGTAACTGCTTCCGATTAGTGGTGAACCGGAGTAATTGGTGAAACCGAAAGCAAATACGCGAAAACATAATTACAAGCGCAGAATTGCAGGCATATGTTCCGCACTATCGATTACATGGTCGATGAGTCGTCGATCGTATAGTTAGCCACAATGCCGGTGTCATTACCAAAGCAACCACTCATTATCGCACGCTATTCTATGATTAATCGCCGATATAACCGGGAAATGAGTGATGAAAGATAGACTAAAATTTTTACGAGTTCTTTTATTTACCGTTTGAATTGTCATTATTACTCTCACTGAAACGATATACATATTCGCGTGAGAAAATACAATTCATGAACATACAATACGCTATTTTTAGATCTTTCTAAAATGTGTCATGGGAACGTTGCATAATGCAACGAACAACAAATGACGATAAATTATATGCTACATATACCATATAGAAATTCACTTTTAATTGACAAAAATAGTTTACTAAAAATAATGAATAACGAAATGCACTTAATGTCTGTCGTTCTTCGTAATGAATGCCTACGTCAATATTCAAGATTTTCTCACGTTTTGAAAAGAATCCGATCTGGTTTAATTTTTGCAAAAAGTGTATATGCTTTATAGTGTTAGGTCATGAAACAAACCTGCAGTTTGATTCATTGTCTATTGCACCTTGCCGGTCAGTCGCTGTCCTAGATGAATCATTACTGCACCCGAGATCATTATCCTTGGTCGTTGGAAATAATTCGTTCGCATGTTTCGAAAGCTTCGACAATCCTCCCGAGTTATACGTTTTATATTGCTTAATGCATAACTCTCCGAGGCGCCAATCTAATTCATAAGCTTGAAGTACTCGGGTCACTTTCATGATCGTGCATCAATGTCGTAAAGTAGATATGTGCACTAGTAAATGGCCTTAATGACGATATTGTTTTATATGTAATTTATAATTAGATATTTTATTTTTGCTAAAAGAATTATTAATGTTTGTCACATGCCTACTTTTGGTATCCGTTAATTAAGTAGATATCAATTAGAATTTAAATTTTTGAGGGAAGAAGGTAATTAATATCTAAATTACGTATTTTGTGAAATGCAATCTACGAAATGAGATTTCATGCAAATATGTGGGAGAAGAGGATACCGAGAAAGGTCTATAAACCGGTTTCTGCACTTCCTCGATTTAGCAAGCCTCATTATTTTGAAGTCGGGCAAGATTTTGTTTATCGTTAATCATTCTCGACTGCAGGAAGAAGAGAGATCCTCGAATGATTTTCGTCAAGTTACGAGAGGTTACAAGCACGTTATTTATTACTAGGTGTTCACACGTCTTAATCTGTAACCTCATTAAGCATAGGGACGCTAAAAATAAAACGAAACAAATTCGCATTAGATTTATTACTGCTTTAAAAACTGATGGAAACAAATCCGTAAATTCGTTTTGGAATTAGTTATGCTCTCGTAGTGATTATTTAGAAAACACTCCGTATAACTACTAATTACTTTTTGGAAACGGAATTGTATACGAGTAACATAGTATTCGCATAAGTGATAAGTATAAGATAGCAATCAGTAGAAACGTGAAAGTAGTCATAATAAATCGTACATATTAAGTCGATGTGTGGATTATATCATAGTAATGTTTTATATTTTTATTTTTTATCATCGGTATGGTGATAGTTGCTGTTGCAACCTGAGCCGTGCGTATTGAGCCGAATCAGATTGATCGATCTTGGATTGACGCAAATTCCAAGTTACGCTAAAATCCAATTACGCTTGATTATCGCAACAATTCTATATCTAAACTGTTTATTGGATTGGGTAGTAATATGTTACTATCAGGATAACAAAGGATTATATCTTACGAATCGTCTCCGGATTGACAGGTTCACGGTTCTTACAGCAGCGCGAAGGCACTTAATTCGCCTCTCTGAACTTATAAACGATCTATTGCAGCTCCCTACAACTGCTTTGCCATCGCAAGAATGTTTCTTATACGGATGAAAAGTAAATGAAGCTATTTCATAATATGTACATGCTCGGTTTCAAGCAATGTATTTTTACGAAATACGAATAGTTGTAATCATTAGATTATTATGATTGAGTCTGCAATAATCTCGTAAGTGCATTTCCTTATGATCTATTTTAACTCTCGTTAAATTCGAATTTGATCGAAGAGAAGGTTGACATAAATATAAGTTGGTACAAAAGTTGCTGAAACAATTTTTTATCACGTTGACAGATGTGCAATTTAAAATAATTTAAAATATAAAAACTTGGCATTTTATCACACAGCAATGAAAATTATATTATGTTTGATATAAATATGTCCAATTCTTATCAAATTAAAACAAATTATATATTAATCGGAATATTTGTTTGTATTTACAGCACAATAGATATTTACTCAAACTGGAAATGTGTCGAAACATTATATGATTCAGAGATATGGAAGGTATATAATTATATGTTAATAAACTTTCAAGAAAAAAAAATAGGAGAAAAATCGATAAAATCGCAATGTTAATTAATAATGTCTGATTTTGGACGCTGATTTAATTTAAATGGTATTTCTCAGCAGCCTCCTTTCTCTCGAGTCGATAATGTCTCGGTAAGACTATGAGTTCGTGCTGATACCTGACACATTAATCTCGGGTGGTGCAAACATCCTTAATAATTAGCCACGCTAAGGGAAGTGTCGACACACACACTCGGCAATGCTCGGCGCCTCTCCCGTTCTAACGTTTTTCCTTTTAATTGCATTCCCACATTGCGATTCTTTCGCAATAGCCCGAGTGTGTCAAAGTACTTGATCCAGATCTTAAGTAGCGCAAAAATCGTGGCAACAAAATTAAAGCTTTAGTTTGTTTAGCGATTTCTTTTCTTGATTTCAAACGCACGCCGTGTGATTCTTATTCCGGAAAGTTTACGAGCATACTCGAGATACGTCACTTCGGGCAGTTTATTCAAACGAATAAGCATTCCTTTTACTAAACGTCCATCGATCATTAATCAGTATAAACGTAAAAAAATTTTTATCGGCTTTTAATGACTTCTGTAGTTCAAATTCTGGCGCAATTTAAGTTGGTGCAATATCGACGCAGCTATGTGGCACTCCGCTTTCTGATAGCTTATTTAAATCTTTGCGATTCATTCAACTTGAATTGTGCAACGATTTCCATAAGGAATAAGTCGTTAATACAATTAATATGTGTCTGTCACTGCTAATAGACAAATCCTGAATGTCCGAGGAAATTCATATATGTATAAATATTGCACTTTTAAGATTAGACTGATAAAAATTTCTTTGTTCTGAAAGAAATTAAAAAGAAAGACTATTCTATGAATTGCATCCATGATTTTTTTACCTAAATATGACTATCATATTATTTCGAAGCTGTTTTCTTATTAAGCCATAATAATTATATTTAAACATGATCATTTTGTTATATTAATATTTATTAATATATTTATATAATTGATTAAAACGGTATAATTTTTAAAGAAATTTACAGTAGTAAAGTTTCGAGTTAATTTTTTTTTGTATTAAAAAAACTTAAGCCATTATATTATAGGTTATCTTATTATGCATTTTTATTAGAAATTTATTAAAATTCTTTGCTGAAATGAGGCAATCTTCTATTATTAATCTCTCATAAAATATTTACAAGCTTTTGAAATGATGTGACTTGTAATATGAGATAGTAGGGGTGGAGTAACCATCTACATATTTGCGGAATTAAAATTTTTTTCCGGATACTATAGAGTAGTGTAGACCAGTTAACGTTTTTCGACCCGGAAGAATTTTGTATTGTTTTCAAGCTAAATTCCTCCAAGAAGTCATTAAATATTCACGAGACTTTGCAGTGCACGACAATATTGCATATTTATGTGTCTATTTTGATTTTTTTTTATATTTCTAAGGACATTTTAAATATACGTTAATCTTTATAGATATTAATTGATATTTTGCGTGGGAGTGGTCGACGATTTCAATGCTTCATGTAACAGAAAAAACGTGCGCATATGTTTTACGACGAATTGATCGATCGATTTGTTTCTCAGTATCGCTTGCGGCTCGATGTTAACGCAAAGTGGCTGTTGATTTATTGCTGAATAATTAATAAATATTTATCAATAATAAATATTAAAGTCTTGTTGGATAATCTTTATGGCGTGT